AACCTTTAATGTGTGAATCAGCTGTGGCAAATCAATGCAGATGGGTTTGAACTGGGGGTTTATTCTGAGGCAGCAGCACATGAGGGGAGCTCTGGGGGCTCGAGCTTTCAAGAATTTGGAAGGGGTTGAGGATCACACAGCACTGGGATGGAACTGTGGGAGCTGCTGGAGATGCACCCACTCTGCCAGAATATTTATCCTAGGAGCATTTGGGTTGGAAAGGACCTTAAAGCCCATCCAGTCCCAGGGGGGAAATATTGATATTTTATAAATATATATATATATATTTATATTATATTTTATTATATAAATGTACAAATATTTATATTTTATATATAATATGGGTGTATTTATAAACACATCTGAGTCCTCCCTTCTGTTTGAGGGACACATTCCCTGCCCCACCATCATTCCACCTTAAATGTGCCCTCTTTTCCCTCCCCTGCCTCCTTGAACGTCTGCAGGAGTTATTTTAGAGGCTCCAATCTGCCAGCTCGGCTGTATTTGGGACTCAGCTTCAGCTGGGAAAACGGGGAGAACAGCTAAATAACCCTCCCTGCGGCTGAGCAGGGCGAGGGGAGTGCTCTGACCCCCAGCTTGGGGCTCCCTCCCCCCACAGCCATCCCTGGGAATTGCTGGGGGGGCCTTGTTGGGGCTTGTCCAGCTTCTTCCAGACACGTGTGGGAGGCTGGCACGGCTCAGGAGGCTGGAATCCCTCCAGCAGAGCCCAGGAGGCATGAGCAGTTCCTCCCAGTGCCTCCCAGTTGCTCCCAGCAGGTTCACCAAGCAGAGGGTTCTGATTGGGAACAGCCACAGATGCCCAGCGTGTGTCGTTCCCGTAGATGGAATTTGCCTGAAGACGCAGATCCCCGGGTTCCTGTTTGCTGTTCTGATCTGGGAAGGTGTCTGTCACCATGGCATCTGCGTGTGTGCAGGAGGGACACAACCAGGAGCTTCTCCCTGCCAAAAAAAAAAAAAAAAAATTAAAAATCCGGTTATTTTTCCCCTTGGAAAGGGCGGAACACCCATCCAGAGCTGTGGGGAGAGGGTGGGGATGGCCATGGGGATGTGCTGCTGAGGGACACACTGGCTGGAGGCAGCTGTGGGCTCTCCTCCTCTTCCCCAGATGGTGCCAGAGCAGCTCCATGGGATGTTGTGGTTCCTGGAGCAGGGAATGTTCACCGGGGCGGATATTTCCAAGGTGCCTCAGAGGGAAGGCAAGGATGGGAGTGAAGCCAAGGGTTCTTCTGGCTCTTGGAAGGTCAGGAAGAAGAAACCACAGCTATTGGCCTTGGCTTGTGCTGCCTGCAAAGCTGGGAGGTGCATTATTTGGGATGAAGGATCCAGGGTGAGCTCAGTGAGGGGGGACCCACAGAACGTGTGGCAGGAAACTTTTCTGAAAGAGGAGAAATGGAGAGGGGGGGAAAAGAAGCTGCTGAACAAAAATGGGGCGAAGGGGATCTATTTGCAATCTGATTTTGGGAGGTCTGTGCTCATTTGTGTGGGTGTTGGGGTCCAGCCAACACCTCTGACAGCCTTGGGATGACAAATCCCAGAAATGCTCCCAGAGGGGTCGCAGCAGGAAAAGGAAACGGATCTCAGGGCAGTCCTTTTCCTCCCCAGGGGTGAGAGGAAATGGGAATTCTTTGTGTTGAGAGGAAAATACCCTTGCCTGTTCCACCTGGGGGTTACAATGGTGCCAAAATAGTCAAATGAAATCAATTTAACAGCTTCCAGCAATAAGCAAACTGGCTTTTAAAGCAGCCCTGCATTCATCCCATAGATGTAATAAGGAACTTATTTTTCCTGATGGATTTCTGCTTCACAGTGAACTCCACGTGCCTTGTTTGTATTAAAAAACCTCCTTTGCACTGAATTAAATAACTGTAAAGCCCCTTCTTTCATCTACAAGGGCTTGTGTTCACACTCTTCACCCTTTAAAATTCTGATGGATTTCAAGTTTTTCATTGCACTGGAAGAGGAACTTATTTGATGCAAGCTTGTAAAAGAGATAAATTCCATATGTGTTTTGAATAGCAATATCTGCTTTCTTCTCATGGAGGGTCGAGTGAAAATATGTTCTCCCTGTATAATTAGAAGTGTTGAGGGTTTACTACAAGATGCAAACTGATTTTATCTGTCTGCAATGAAAAAAAAAAGGGTAAAAAAAAAAACAAACGAGGGGAAACTTGGAAAAATCATCAGGCACGTGTGTGATGTGTTAAACTCGTGAGAGAGCACCTTGTTTTGAGGACAGGGAGGCATTTTCAAGGGCTGGGAGCAGAGAGATGTGGCGTGGAGGAAAAGAAACCTCCCTAATTGATCAGGCACACTGAGATCCTATAAATAAAGCCTTCCACCAGCCTGTGACTGCCAGACTGGAACCAGGGAACAGCTCCTCCCCTTTGCTCAGCAGATATTCTCTTTTAGGGTGGTGGTGACATTCAAACAGACCCAAATAAAGAATTGACAAGTGCCACCCCCTCCCAGCCTTACAGTGGGGCAAGTGGTAACAATTTCTGCCAGTGTAATTAATTCCCAGACTCTTGCTCCCTCCTGCCATTTGCTGGAATTATTTTTAAAACTGCACTTTGCATGGTTCCTGATTTTTTTATTTTATTTTATTTTTTATTTTTTGTGGAGTTTCAACCCAAAAGTGGCGGCAGCCTGGAAGGGAAGGGGGGGATGGAGCTGAGGGGAAGGGATAAAGCCTTAGGCATGGCAGCTCTTGGCTGTCAGGAGGGTAAGTTGGGTTAATCTGTGCTGGTCACCTGCAAAGCACCTGGTGGAGGCACTGAAGCCCGGAGGTTAATCCCACCTTGGCCAAATAATCCGTATTATTATTCCATGTGTACCACAGGGCCCTGTTATCCCTCTGGAGCTGTGGTTGGGAGTCAGGATCTCCTACAGGAAAAGCTGGAGAGGGACTATTTGCAAGGCCATGTAGTGACAGGATAAGAGGGAATGGCTTCCCACTGCCAGAGGGGATATTGGGAATAAATCCTTCCCTGGGAGGGTGGGCAGGCCCTGGCACAGGGTGCCCAGAGAAGCTGTGGCTGCCCCTGGATCCCTGGAAGTGTCCAAGGCCGGGCTGGAGCAACCTGGGATAGGGGAAGTTGTCCCTGCCCTTGACACGGGGCAGGAACAAGATGAGCTTGTGTGGCAGAGCAGGCACATCCCTCCCCCCTTCCCCTGGGCAGGTCTGGGTCTCCTCAGGATGAACAGCTGCACAGCAACCAGTTCAGAAGTCGCAGGAGTTAACTAACTGGCTGCAGATGTTTCCCTTCTCCCTCTCTTCCTTGTGGAATAACAGGCTGGGCTGCAGGGAACCACGAAGGAGAGAACTCCCAGCACTGCCACCTCTGCCCTGTGCCCACTCCCTGGGTGTTTGTGGCATCACCCTCCCCCCATCCTAAACAACAGGACACTTTTAACCTCCCTGTGCTGCTTTGGGCTGGGCTGGAGTTAATTTTCTTCACAGTGCCTGGGACGGGGCTGGTTGGGATTTGTGCTGAAAACAGTGTTGATAACATAGAGACGTTTTCCTTCCTGCTGAGCAACCTCAAGGATGTGTTTCTTACATGGATTTCCATCTTTCTGCCACGAAACACAGAATTTCATGTCTGAATTTTATTATAATTAAGACTAGTTGCTGTTTGTCCCTCTACCAGAACTTTACCATCCCCTGAACTCTCCCCTACTGCATCCACTGGGTTTGGATTGTGGGCATGTGCCACCCAGAGCTGCCTCATCTCCCAAACCACGTGTGGAAGCTGCTCATGGGTGTGATTCATGCTCTCCATTTCAGCCACACAACCTTAAAAGGTCCCCTGGCCGTGGATTTGGGAACGGGAACATTTGCTTGTTAAACTTGGCTATGCTGACCCAGAATCCAGAAACTGGATTAGTTTTTTTTAGCAGAGTTATTTATAGGAGACTCTTAACTAGTTACTTGAAATTACTTTGAAAGAAGAAGTGGGGAGTGTGGAAGTGGGGGGTTTGTGGCGGGTGCTCTGTGGTCCCTCGGGGTGTGGGAGGGGTGATGTCACTGGGTTGTCACTGAGCCTCCCTGCAAACCCACTGCCCATGCAGGGACGAGGACAACCCCTCTCCAAACCCCTAAAATCATAGAATGGCTTGGGTTGGAGGAGAACTTAAACATCATCTTGTTCCAAGCCCTTGTCATGGGCAGGGACGCCTTCCACTGGACCAGGCTACTTGTGCCAGGGCCTCCCCACCCTCAAAGCCAGCAATTCCTTCCCAATATCCCATCTAAATCCACCCTCCTGTATCTTAAAGCCATTCCTCCCTGTCCTGTCACTCTATCCCTTGTCCCCAGTCCCTCTCCAGCTCTCCTGGAGTTCCTTTAGGGGGGTTTTGGGACTGACAGAACACACGGCTGGGTCAAACCAACACCCCCAAATCCTTCTCCTCAGGGCTGCTCTCCATCCATTCCCTGCCCAGCCTGTATTTGTGCTTGGGATGGTCCCGACCCAACCGTGGAAATAATCACGGGTAGTAATAATTTGTCGCAGAAGAAAGAAATAGTTATAACAGTTACCATAACAATACGACTTCACATCATAGTTATAATTTTCGAAAAAAAAAAAAAACAAAACCACAATCAAACCCACCAATTTCCCACCATCACCACCACAACCACCCCCGGATTTTCGAACGGCGTTTCCCGCAGCCCCCCGAGCGGCGGAGCCTCCGCCCTGCCCGGCCCCGGCTCCGGCTCCCCCCGCGGCAGCACCGCCCCCCGAGCCCCCCGCACCCCCTGCCCGCTCAGCATCGCCCCCCCCGAGCTCCATCGCACCCCCTGCCCGCCCAGCACCGCCCCCCGAGCCCCATCGCACCTCCCGCCCCGCCCGGGGCCGCCCCGCCGGCGGCATCTCCGGAGCGCGGGGGCGGCCCCGGGGCCGGCGCTTCCCGTGCCCGGCGGGCAGCAGCGCTGCCGGCCCCGCCGCCACGGCTCCCCCTCCGCTTCTCTCCGCCAGGACTCCCGGGAGGATGGCATGGATTTAGGCAGCGACGCCGGCAGCAGCCGCTCCAGCTCGGAATCCAACTCCAGCAAAGCCACGCCGTGCTCGGAGGGCAAGTCCTCGCCGTGCCCCAGCAGCCTGGACCTGGCGGCGCTGGAGGACTCGGAGGAGGAGGAGGATTCGGAGGAGGAGGAGGAGGACGGGGGGTCCCCGCCGTCCCCGCCGCGCTGCCCCGCCGCCCATGGGCGCGGGTGCGGGGCCGTGCCCGCCGCCCCCCGCCGCTGCTCCCGCCCGCGCCCCCCGCCCCGCACGGGCACAGGGGCGGCCCCGGGACCCGGCGGGCGCAGGGGCGGCGGGGCCAGGCCCCTCCGGGAGCCGCAGCCCCCCGCCATGGACTGGGCAGCCCTGGAGAGGCACCTGGCGGGGCTGCAGTGCCGAGAGCAGGAGCGAAACCACCGCGCCAACCCCGCGTCGGTGAGTGGGGAAGGGTCGCGGTGCTGGGTGGGGGGTGGTGGCGTTTGGGGGTCGGTGGTGGAGGTTGGAGAGGGGGGGAATCGGTTTGTTCTGGTGGGATGTCGCCCGGAGTGCTGCGTCCAGCGCTGGGGTCCCCGGCATAAGGATGTGGAGCTGCTGGAGCCAGGCCAGAGGAGGCCACGGAGATGCTCCCAGGGCTGGAGCCCCTCTGCTCTGGAGCCAGGCTGGGAGAGCTGGGGGGTTCCCCTGGAGAAGAGAAGGCTCCAGGGAGAAGACTCCTGAGAGCCCCTGGCAGGGCCTAAAGGGGCTCCAGGAGAGCTGGAGAGGGACCTGGGACAAGGGATGGAGTGACAGGACAGGGAGGAATGGGTTTTAGCTGCAGGAAGGTGGATTTAGATGGGATATTGGGAAGGAATGCCTGGCTGTGAGGGTGGGCAGGCCCTGGCACAGGTTGCCCAGAGAAGCTGTGGCTGCCCCTGGATCCCTGGGAGTGTCCAAGGCCAGGTTGGACGGGGCTTGAAGCAACCTGGGCTGGTGGAAGGTGTCCCTGCCCAGGGCTTGGAATGAGATGAGCTTTAAGGCCCATCCCAACACAATCCATTCTGTGATTTTCTAACTTTGCAGGAATATCTTTGGCCATGGCAGGAGCTGCTTCCCTGCTGCTCCAGGGATGGGGCAGGGGATGCTGTTGGTGCCTGGTGGGTGCAAGGTGCCACCACCAGGCTGTCTGAGAGGTGGCTTCTCCTTGGAGAGGCAGAGGAATAAGAGCTTTCCCCAGGCTGGGAGCGGTGCCAGGCTGATGGTGCATGTTCCCCCTTTCCTAAGGGAAAGATTCTTCCCTCAGAACCTGCTGTTTGTCAGCCAGGACAAAACCCCCAAACGCTTGTTTTTGCAGCAAACCCTGTAGATTGTGGTGTGATCTCACTCTTTCCAGAGTGACTTAGGAATTGCTCAGAACTTCTGAGCTGCAGTGATGTGATGTGAACAAGCACTGCTGGAGACTCTTCCATAGTGTGTGAATTCAAAGGAATCCACAAAACCTCCTGGAAGCTCCAAGCAGGAGCCTTGGGATGCGCTGGGTGATGAGCCGTGTGTGCCTCCCCAGCCAGACCCTCCAGCCCTGCCTCTGGCACGCCTGGCTTTTTGTCAGGATTTTTGAGGGTTTTTAAAAGGCGTTCCAACCCTTTTACTTCCTGTGAAATCATCGAGCTCAGGGAGGTGGGGATTTCCCCCCCCCCCCCCAACTCTTGAATCACAACTAATTGGTGACAAATCCGGGTGGGTGCTGGGCACGATGAGTAAGCTGAGGGATGAGTGGGATTGCTGCCACGAAAGGGTGCTTTTTTTCCAGAGCCTGAACGCTGCAGCCTCAGTGCCTCGAGGAGCTGACAGGTAACATCCTTAATTACAGCCATTTGTGCAGAAACTCGGCTTTAAGGGAAAAAAAAAAATACCCACCTCATTTTTGTGGTTTTGGGAGCTCCTTTCTGCAGCCTTTATCTGATAAACTCTGCTGGCAGCACCCACTGCTGGAAACTCTTTGCCTCCAGGCACATGCTCCTCCAGGTGAGCTGTCAGCCAAAGGAATTTTGCCTGTTGACCTCTGTAAGGATTTTCCTCCTCCATCCTGCCGTTCCCTCCTGCCAGCACAAAGGCTCTGGAAGGCAATCTCGCTGCCTCACGCCCTGGCTTGCCCTGCAGAGAGCCGGGGGTTGCAGCGCTGTGCAAACCAGAGCTCCTTGGCAGCACGTGGAGCCGGTGATGGACGCCCAGGTTTGGGTGGGAATCGAGGAGCCCAACACCTCCAGAGCGTCTCCCGTGGGTAGGACCGAGCTGCTGCTTCTCCCACACCCACGGCAACTGGAGTTTTCCACTGGAGAGACTTTTCTCCACCCCACTGGCTGTCCTGGAGGCACCTGAGAAAGCTCTTGGTTTGCTTCCCATCCTTGTGTTGGCTCCAGGATTGCCCTTCCCCGGCTCACAGCGGGGAGGAGGAGATGTCCCAGCTCTGCTCCTTCCACTTCCCGCCTGGATCAAAGGAAAAAGGGCTGTTGGGAAAGGACATTTCCCCTCCTGGCTGGCTCAGAAGGGGCATTTGATGCCCCCAGGGTACCTCCTGCCCCTCCTGCACCGTTTGGGCTGTGCTCCCCTGCGTGGACTCAATCCCTTCAAGGCTAAACCAGACTGAAGAGCAAAACCTCGGCTTTTATTTTTGTTTTTCCTGCCCTTGACATTTCCCTGCGGTTCGGTGTCTCGCTGTTTATAACAAAGCCCTGCCTTGCCCTGCTGGAAGCCCGGAGTGTTTGTAAACACGGGAATCATGGAGTGAGAGCAGCCGGGAAGCGAGTTCAGAGAGGATGTGCCGGGCTGCTCCAGCTGCTGCAGAACATCTCAGCAAAAGGGAAATTTCACCGGTCCAGGCCTTGGCTGGTGTGGTCTGAAATCCTCTCCTCACCAGGGATGGGATGTGAAAGCAGCTGCTGCCCTGAGCCCAAGTGTTTCTCAGGCTGGTTTAGGTGCTCAGGGAATCCAGCAGGGATGTTTTGTTAAGGAAAATAGAGTCCTTTCTGCTGCCAGTACCTGTATTTAGTTGCTTTTATGGTGCTCCAGGACCTTCAGTCACATCTGTAGGTGCAGAGATCTGCCCCAAGTTGCTGGGAAGGCTGGAAAGAGGGAATATTAATTACGTGGAAATGGCTGGTTTTGAGCTTCCAGATGCAATCTCCCAGCACAGACGAGGCAGGAGGGCCAAAGCTGGTTGCTCAGGTTGCAGAAAGGGCCAGGGGGGCTGAGAGGTTCCTGCCAGGACATTTGGGAAGAGGTTGGCAACTGCTGCTTGGCATTGGCAGCCCCATGAAGTGCTGATGCTGCTGAGGGAGCCCCAGGACCAGCCTGGGCTGGGATCTGCCCATCCTGGCCATGCCACATCCGTGGGCACGTTCTTCTCAAGGTGTGGGCTCCTGTGATGCCACCCAGGGACTGGTGGCTCTGGGAGGGTCCCCGTGGGAGAGATGGGAAAATGGTGTCTAGAAATGGAGAATATTTCCTTTTTTTCACCCAAACAAAGGTGAAATGGCTGGTTTAGGAGCTGTACTCAGGCAGACAGGTAGCTACAAGCCCGGTGGGTTGTTTTAGATACCTCTTGAATCTTCTGGACTCCACCTAAGAGAAGAAATCACATCTTTTCTCAAAGGCAGTGGGCGCTCAGCAGGTTCATTAGGGAGATGCTTGGATCAATCTCATCAACCAGCTGCATGAATCCACCCCCTCCCATTTTTTTTTTTTTTTTTTTAATTTCCCCCCTTTGCTCCACTCCTGGCTGTCTCCAGAGCAGCAGCAAATGTGCCACGAGATGATTTATGGCTCTGAGGAGCTGCGGAGGTGCTGGGGAGGCAGCGACCGCTTCGCTAATGGCTCCAATAAAATCCAAATCAGCCTTAATGGTTTTAATATTCTCCCCATCGCAGCTCCGAGGATGGTAATTACAATCAATAGGCTGTATTGTCTGAGAAGAATATCTGCAAATTCCATAGTCAATTAAAAAAAAAACACCAAAAAAATCACTGGCAGGAGGGGAAATGGCTCAGGCAGCCCCGACTTGCCCTCACAGAGTCCTCGGGTGCTCGTGCCAGGCTGGGGAGGGGACGGCACTGCTGAGGGAGTTGTGCTGCCCACGAAGCTTCTTGGGGGCAGTGGTGATAAAAGCTCGTCCCTGCAGCCTCCAGGACTCTTGCAGAGGCCTTTTGTGGGGGTGAGGGTGTGCTGGAGCCTCTTTTTCCTCACTGAAATGTTCCTGCGTGTGCTGTGGAGACAGATTGATACCCGTTGGTTTGGTCACTTGGGAGGTAAATACAACAGGTGCCGCATCAGCACCGTGTCCAGACACATCACTTGGGCCCAGGAAACATTTACAGTGTGGTAGGAACTTAAATTTGTTCCCTTCTGACTTATTTGGTCCTCAAGGCTTTAAGGGCTAAACCAGGAGATGCCAAAGGCTGGTGGGACGGCACTGATGGACCAGGTAAACGGTGGCTTTATTGGTGTCTCCTCTCACTGCTGCTGGAAGTTTGAGGTGAATTCAAAGCATTTATTGCAGTGTGGGATGAAATCTTTAAATAACTCAGTAATTGGCCGGGGGTCTGGTGATCCTGGGTCAGAGCAGCTGCCGTGGAAGGGGAGATGTGCAGAGCAGGTTGGAAAAGAGGGAGGAGAGAAGCGGAGCCAGGAATGATGTTTCTCCACCCAACAGCTGCTTGTTAAAGCCCTGGGAGAGTATTGGTGCAGCAGGACTGTCAGGAGCACGGATTGGGATCCAGCACAGACCCTTGGTGGGGAGCTTTGGTCCACCTTGGAGTGCCGGGCCAGCATTTAGGGAGCAAACAGATTGGCAGCGAGTTTGCTCTCGCTCCAAATAAGCAATAATTGCTTGATTGAGCTCTCCTGAAGTGTTGCTTTCTTCATCCCCAGCTGCTGGGAGATGTTGCCTTGGCTGGCAGTGCTGGGAGCAGGGAGTACCAGCCGGGGCTGTGATGCCTGGCAGCAATTTTCCCCAGACAGGAGCTGTCAGCTTGTTAACTCCTGACGTGCTGATTTCCAAAATCAAACTTCTGCCTCGCAGGAAATCTCATTTCTGTCATTCCTGCAGACTGGAGAACCCTTCAGGACCTTCTCTGTCCACCTGACAGCTCTTTCACCTGCCTTCTCTGACCGTTTGACTCTGCACCAGGAGACTGAAGAAAGGAGTTTCCTCGGGGCACAGGATTTGTTTTAAGGCTTTGACACAAAACCAAACCTTTTGCCCGTGGAAAATGCCATCGTTTCAGCCCAACTAGAGATTTGCCGAGTGCCAGCGTCCCCGGGGTGGGGACCTGTGGGACTTTGGCCACGTTCCACCCAGCTCAAAGGTCAGGGGAGGTGTTAATGATCCTGGCACTGGGCTCAGAAAACACCCCTAGGAATTCTCAGTTCTTGTTCCTTGCATTGCTAATTACGTAGATTGGGGAGAGGTGTGTTTGCAGCTTCCCAAAGCAGGCCAGGCAAACCCCCCCACCATTAATAACCCCCAGCAAAAGCTTTATTTCCACTGCTGCTGCAGAGCCTTGCAGTGAAGGGAGTGCTGAACACGGGGGGTGGCAGCACCTGGGGCCCGTCTGATGGGGGATTCTCCTTTATTTGGGTGTTTCTGTGATGGGAACTCCTCTGGCTGATGGACCCCTGCGAGCTGGCACTGCTTCCCAGTCGACTGGTAAGTGTGGATGGTTCCTCTGGGATGTGGAAATCACCAGGAAAAGCTGAGCAAGTCGGGCTGTTTTGACGCTAATTGTGTTGCTTGTGCAAGGCTGGGGGATGATATTGGTGGTCTGGCCGTGGAAGGGTCTATTTTAACTTAATATTTTTTGGTACTGGGCGTTGTAAGTAGCAAATGTGAGGGATTTCCAATGAGAGAAGTGAGTCTTTATGCCAATCGAAATTTTTAATGTCTCAGAACGTCATTTGGTTGGTGGAATCCTGAACCAAAGGGGTTCTGGAGCCCTTTGCCCCTCCCCTGCTGCACCTCCTTCCAATTCCCACCCTGTCTGAAGTGTTGAAACAGCAGCAGGAGCGCTCATTTGCCTGGATAATAATTATGTGCTTAGGCATCTCTTTCTTGCATGTTTGTTAGGTGTGATTAGTGCAAGGTGCTGGGGGTTTAATCCTCCCCACTGACCTGTGCTGTGTAAAACCTGCTGTTGATGGAGAGCCTGGCAGTGGGGTGGGAGGGGGTGTCTGTGAATGTGGAAATGTGGAAAATGCTGTATGTGGAGAGGGAAATTATAGGCAGAGGGTGTTTAAAACCGTATGAAAAGAGGGTTTTTTTCAGTGCAACTCAAAGCACAGTTGCAGCTCTGCCAAGGAGCACTCAAATTCCAGGGTCATCCTGACTCCCAAACTAACGGTGACAGCTGTTGCTCAGGGACCTTTCTG